CCCCCCCCCCCCCCCCCGCCACCTGCCAGTGGCTCCCCAGAGGATGATGGGAGAATTTTACATCCCGGCCTGGTGCCAGGCCGCCTTGCCCAGCTGTCTCCACCAGCACGTGTGTGGGTCCGGGGCTCCCACCAGCACCTTGGGGGGCTCGGAGAAGGCTTCTGCTCTCAGGGCAACAGCCTGATTGGTTTTCACACTGGCTGGCCAGGGGCAGCGAGACCACCCTGAGTGTGGGAGGTTGGCCTGGGAGGGTGAGGAAGTGTGTTTTGAGTGACGGATAAGGTCCCTGTGCTTCTAAAACTCAGTCAAGTGGGGGAGACAGGAGCAAGCAAAGAAACAAATACATGGTCAAGGTATTGTCTTTCAGCCATAAGTGCCAGGAAGATAAGCCAGGTGACGGGATGGTGAGTGCCTGGAGGTGGCCGCTTTGCACAGGGAGGCCAGGAGGAAACCTCCCGAAGAATGACATTTCAGCCAAGCGCCCACTGCTGCAGTGAGATGGGGCAGGAAAGGGTTCTAGTCAGGGAAACTAAAAGTACAAACCCCTGCAGTGTGGGGAACTTGCCGTGCTGGAAGGCAAGGAAGAGGGCGCGTCATATGGAATGAGGCGCGGGTGGCATTCGGACCAAATCACTGGGCGGAAGAGGCCACTGTTAACATTTTAGATTCTACTCTACGCGCAAAGGGAAGCTGCTTAATCCTCACAACCAACCTAATGAGGTAGAAATTATCCCCCATTTTACAGAAGTGGAAAATGAAGGTCAGAGAGGTTGAATGACCTTGGGTCACACAGTTCATAAGTAGTGGCGTCTGGAATGGAACAGGAGTCTGATCCTGCTAGGTTGTCCCGAAAGGTATGGCCAGGTCTCCATGGGTGCTCTTTCCCCTCCTCAGGCATGAAATCTAGGTCACTGGGCCAGGGGACCCCAGGACCCAGCCCAAGCCTCCTGAAGGTACGAGGCTTCCCCAAAGGGGAAGTCCTCCTGGGGGTCTGCCTCCCCCTCAAGGACGAAGCTCTCCAGCCCAGAGCTGTGTGGCCCGAGAAGGTATTTAAACTTTCACGGGTGTCTTGATTGCCCAGCGATAGTGAAAGGCCCTGCTCTCCAGGAAAGGATCCATTTCCCCAGTTCTGCATTCATTCCCCTCCCCCCTCCCCCCCCCAAACTGCCTTCCCCCGTAGAGGCCCAGGGCAGGCCCGGCCCGTGCACCCTCCGCCAGCGCGCCTGTTCAGATTTCTCCCTTTGCAGCACTTTGCAAGATGAGCATGTTTTGCCTATCGGTGTAGACTGGCCCTCCCAGAGGCCCCCCTCCTCCTCGGGGACAGTGTCCCTGCCCCCACCCTGCCCCAGCCCGGGCTCAGTCACCAAAGGGAACAGCAGCAAGAATATTAATAGTGAATACTGGGTCACTGTGCTCTCAACCAGCACCGATGTGTTTTCGCCGTCCGAGTGAGGTGTGAGGACACGTGTTGTACAGATGAGGCTCGGTGAAGTACAAGGGCCTGTCTAGGATCATAAGCCGAGTAAGCAGCAGAACCGGAATTTCAGCACCTGTCCTTCCATCTGATTCCAGACTGTGTTTGTGCGTAGGGGTTATGTACATATGTACATGTATATACATGCATGTACGCATGCATGTTGCGCATGTGTATATTTCTATGTAGGTATCTGTGCACGTTCTTTTGAATTCAAATAGAGCATGCTGTTTTAAAAAAGGCACAGCTTAAGTGTACAGTTTGGTGAATTTTTACAAACTAGACACACACATGTAACCAGCATCCAGACCCAACAACAGAACGTTCCAGCCTGTAGAGGCCCCCACCATATCCCCGCTCACTCAAGACTAATCATTAGCCTGACTCCTCAGAACAAAGGTTAGTGTTACCTGTTGTTGAATTTGATACAAATAAAAGCATATATAGTGTGTAATATTTTGTATAGTGCTCCTCTCGGCATTCTTTTCTTTTTAATTTTTTAAAGTTTATTTATTTTGCTAGACAGAGAGAGACAGTGCACGCACAAGCACAGGGGAGGGACAGAGAGGGAGAGAGAGGGAGAGAGAGAATCCCAAGCAGGCTCTGCATTTTTAGTGCAGAGCCCAATGCGGGGTTCGGTTCCACAAACCATGAGGTCATGACCCGAGCTGAAATTAAGAGTCAGACACTTAACTGACGGAGCCCTCAGGCGCCCCACTCTGCATTCTGTTCTTTAGATTCATGAGTGTTGTGTGAAGCTGCAGGCAGTTTATGCTTTTTTGTGGCTGCTTAATATTCCACAGGGGACTCTATCCACTGAGCCATTCTGCCGTTGAGGGACATCTGTATTCTTTCCAGTGTGGAGATGTCATGAATAAAGCCACTGTGAACATTGTACATTTTTTTTATTGCAGTAAAACATACATAACATAAAATTTACCATTCTAACCATCTGTTCATAGACTTTACTTTTTAGAGCACGTTTAGGTTCACAGCAAAATTGAGTGGAAAGTAAAGAGATTTACCATATGCCCCTTACCCCGCCTCCAACCTGTCCCCCACTGTGAACACCCCTCACCAGAGTGGTACATTTGTCACAATAGATTAAGGTCACACTGACACAGCATTGGTACCCGAAGTCCATAGTTTATGGTAGGGCTCACTCTCGAAGTTGTACATCCACGGCTATTGACACTGTGGAACAACATGCATCTACCATCAGGGTACCCTAGGGAATAGTTTCACCGCCTCAACCTCTGTGCGCTTCCTCTTCATCCCTCTCCACTCCCTAGCCCCTGGCAACCACTGATGCGTCTCCTGTCTCCGTAGTTGTCTCTTTTCCAGGCGTCCTGTAATTGGAGTCATGCCTTTTCAGATTGGCTTCTTTCACTTAGTAATAGGCATTTGTGTTTCCTCCATGCCTTTCCATGGCGGATAACTGAACCGTACTGTATTATCTAGATGTGCTGCAGCCGTCCATCCACCTACTGAAGGACAGCTTGCTTGCTTCCAGGCTTTGGCAATTAAGAATAAAGCTGCTGTACACATCCATCTGCAGGCTTTTACGTGCACGTGAGTACAATTCATTTGGGTAAATCTCTAGGGGCATGTTTGCTGAATCATGCAGTTTGTACGTGTAGTTTCATAAGAAACCACCAAACTCTTCAAAAGTAACTACTGTTTTGTGTTCCCACTAGCAATGAATGAAGCTTCCTGTTCCTCCACATCTTCAGCAACATTTGGTGCCATCAGTGTTTTGGATTTTAGCAATTCTGTTAGGTAGGTAATGGTGTCGCATTGTTTTAATTTGCAGTTTCCTAATGACATGATCTTGAGTGTCATTTCATATGTTTATTTGCCATCTGTATATCTTCTTTGGTGAAGTGTCTGTTCAAGTCTTTTGCATCTTTTTTTGGTTTTTGCTTTAAGTTTATCTATTTATTTGGAGAGAGAGAGAGAGAGAGAGAGAGCGTGCACAAGCGGGTGAGGGGCAGAGAGGAGAGACAGAATCCCAAGCAGGCTCCATGCCATCAGTGCAGAGCCTGATGTGGGGCTCGAGCTCACAAACTGTGAGATCATGACCTGAACTGAAATCAAGAGTCCGCCACTGAACTGACTACACCACCCAGATGCCCCTTTTGCCTCTTTTTAAAATTGG